GCGACAGGCGTCTGGCATCAGGGGGCACGCGCGAGGCTGTTCGATGACACTGTCATGCGCGTGGGTGCTAGCGAGTGCACATTGGACATTTTCTTGTTAGTCTAGTGCCTAACCTCGGTTCATCCTCAATCTCCCTTTTCCTAATCCTGACCCTCGATGGTTGTTCATGCCCCTCGAAAATGGAAAAATCTTGATTGTGGGTCCAATGAAGTTTCCTCATTTTGTGGGGTCTCTCATCGAGTTCTCCATCCTTGTTCATGTAAGTTGATCTTTCGAGCTCTTGGTCCATTATGATCTCATCACATTCTCTACACTCAATCGACTTCTAAACAAAAATAAATAAATAAATAAAATATATATATATATATATATATGGTTTTTTGCAGACCATTTTATTTTTAGATGATCAATCACACCTTGTTGATAATGGTGGCAACTCCAAACCCATCTCTCAAAAGATGCTCTTTTTGGGATGACGTCGGCCGCTCCGCGTCGCAAAAACGTTGCGATAAAAATTGAAGTAAAGATTGCAACACTTATCCAACTTTAGATTGCAATTTTATGAAATTGAAAGGTTAAGGTAAAAATTGATATATATTGTCAAGTTGAACGATAAAATATTTTTCCCGTTTATATGAATTTGTGCCCCGTAATTTAAAAATCTGGATTTGCCACTACTCAACCTTATCCATGTAGACTATTTAAGTCCTCAACTCTTAAACTTGATCCTCTTGTAGTCTTTTACATACCTAGTTTAAGAACTCATTGGATGGGTTGAGAGCGATTAAGAACTTTTTTTTAGTACATCGGAGGTGGGGGATTCGAATTCACAATCTTTGAGTCGGACATGTTAAGGATCCCACGTTGAAAAGATAAGGGACCTAATCCGTTTATAATAGACATGAGCTACTCTTCTCATTGTTAATTTGTTTTGAGATGGAACCCATGAATATTAATACGACATAGGTGTCTTAACTTGCGGAGCTATGCTCAGGTTGGTAAGAGCTATTAAGCATTTTTGAATGGCAGAATAAGTGAAATATCACTCAAAATAAGAGCCACGAGGTTCTCTTCCAAATGAACTTAGGACACAACAATACATGCATATAGGTTTTAAATAATGATTTAGTATAATGGATCGAAAATCAGAACATTAAGGGCCTGTTTGGTTGGAAATTCGGATTCTGTTTTTTGTTTTCAAATTCACTGAATCAAATGGATCCAGCGAATATGTATTTGGCAGGATTTTGGATATTTGTTTTTGAAAATGGTTTTCGGATTTTGTGATTCAAACAGTAGAAATTCTGAAAACAATTTTTTCATGTTTTCAGTTTTCAGATTCAGAATTTGAAATTCTGAAGATGCAGAATTACATTAAAAATGATAAAAACTTTGATAAATATATTATTTCATATTATCAACTCATTTTATGTTTGTTAAAATTAAAACATGTAAAATATAATGTATTCTAAATTATATAACCTTGTAAAATAACAATTATACAAAATTCATAAAAAATGTTAAAATTAATTAACATAAATTTAGATTACACTAAAATTTAGTTTGCACCTCTAGCTTACAAATATATTACTAAATATATTACTAAACACAAATTTAACAATTTTTTAAATTGAGATTCAATTATCAAATCTGCTACCAAACACATATGTGAAAACATTGAAAACAAAGAATACAACTCTGATTTTCATTGAATCCCTTAGTTTCAAATTTATGTTTTCTGATTACCAACCAAACGCAACCTAAGATATAGTTACTTTTGTTGTCTCTTCTTTCGATACCCAAACCCACTGTGCACTGAAATAAGACATGTAAAAGATCAGAGAGGGCAGACAGAAAGAAGAAAATAAAAGAAAGACGGGGAATGCTGTGGAGCACATGATCAGCATTGACAGGATGGGCCACTTATAAAAAATTATAGAACGACCTCACTAAAAATTTTGCATAATATTAAAGAAATGAAAAAAAAAAGAATAAAGTATTGCCTGCGTTAATTAGTGATTACTATAATCATTCTAACCAATGTATAGGCCAACCACCAATTATATGTTAAGTAATGATGGTGAAAAAAGTAAATTAATTGTTATTATTAAGAAAATCAATTATTGGTAAGATTTTATTTTCTAAAACGTAAAGCTATATTTCATTGTCAAAAGAAATTTTCAAATTCTAGTCGTATCCCTCTCCTCTTTTAATTATTTTAACTCTTAAACTTTTAAGATATCTAAAAATTCATTTGTTAGTCGTTTGTCTCGACATAATCAAAACATAATCCCAACATTAATAATTGAGTGGTAACTTTGACAATTTTTAGAACATGAAAATTGTTTTTCTTTATTTTCTTTCATTTTCAGAATCAATAGACAAAAGGTTTTAGGGCCTTCCTCAAACCGTTAATAGAGAAAAACTAGAATCTCAGGACTTACAAAATGTTAAGAAATAATAGCAAGTGAAGGTACGTATTAATAGACTATTGTGGAATATAAATGGTGGGTACCGTATTGGAGTGACTTATAGACAAACAAAAGTTTTTTTTTAAATAATTTAAAAGCTTAAGAATAAAAATGAAAGTTTTTTAACGAGGGAGGAATAATCCAAACTAAGTTCTTAACAAGGTAAGTGGAATATATTTGTAGGTAAAATAAAAGAGTATGTGAAAAATGTTATATTTTTTTAGCTCAAAATGAGGATATAATAAGCTGCAAAATGAAGATAGAAGAGAAGAGAGAAGCCTTGGGATTTGGTGTGGACAGATGTAATGGTGAGAAATTGAGTAGTGGGCAAGAAGTAGAAAACTAATTATATGATATGGAATTGGACGGTGGCACTTTAATTTTTCTTCTCCTCTGTGATGGACAAGTCTTTTGGTAAAGAAAGTGGACCATCAACTTCACACATTAAGCTGCAAAATAATTGAATATACGACGACTCTGCCTTTGCTTTTCCCTGTCCAAGTCTCTGTGTGCTTTGTGGAGGCCCATTTCCTCTTCTTTTTCCCTCCTCTCTCTCTCTCTCTCTCTCTTTCTTCTTTTTCAGACCTTAGCCTGCCAAAGCCCACACCTCTGTATTCTGAGTTTTCTTTTCTTAATTTTTTTTTGTTATCCACTAACTCATAGTTTTGGTCCCTCCTATTTTTGCAACTCTTTAGATTTAGGGTCGTTGTTGCCATTGGCAAATGTTAAAATTGACTAACGATTAATCTATATAGCATGATACTTACTGAGTTGATAGAAATTTTAAGAAAGGAGGATAAAACTTGACTTTTAATTAGTAAACAACAATCTTGTCCTTGCTACCCTTAGATATTTGACAACTAAAAAAAGAAAGGTAAAAAGTAAAAAAATTTTTTAATAAATAATGAATTGTCAAATATTTAATGGTAGCAAAACGATGTTGCTGTTCAAATGAGGCCCAAGAAAGAATTAGACTATTCTATAGAGAAAAAAATATTATGCCAACTCTAGAATGAGTTAAAAGCTAATTTCCTCTTGTAGATTGCCTAATTCATCTCTAAGTTTCTGTCAAAGCACTAAAATCTCAAGCTGGATAAGTTTATGATTAGGTGATATTTGGGGTATGAATGAAAAATGTTACAGCAATAGGGACTCGACTGAAAAAAACAGACCAAATATTATGGAATAAAACATATATTTAGGTTTAAGAAGACACAAGCTGGTTAGAAGAAGACAATTTAAAGGCAACAGCTTTTTCAGTATTTTAATATTAAATATGACCTGTCGATCATGTGACCTATCTTCTGCTTTATTCTTCTCTCTCCTGCACATCTTTCCAATAATATATCACTCACTCATTCACCTCTGAGCAGAGAGAGAGAGAGAGAGGGAGAGGACCCGCTTGGTCTGATTGTTGAAATCATGAGATAGAGAGAGAGGGAGATGTGCGTTTGTGAAGAAGGGCAACGAAAAGAAAAGAGGGTGTTTGGAATGAAGTTTTGTCCCAGATCCTTAATTGCCCCTGATGGATCGATGATTTTCTTTTCATTTGTCTCCATTCTTAGCTAATTTTGCGGTCGTTCACGTTCGCGTTCTTGTTGGACAACAACAAAAAAAGAGAAAAAAAGAGAAATCTCACCAGGAAAAAAAAGGAAGTAGGTTTTTTTTGTTTTTGTTTTTTTTTCTCATTTAGGCTCAAAATAACATGCACACAAAATACCAAATAGTGTTTATGAGAGAAATGTGGGGTTGTTTTTGATCAGTGGGAGAGCAAGATTCCATATCTCTTTACCTTTATGTTTAAGCTTTAATTTGTCTTTTTGGGAAGGGAAGAGATAGCGTTTCTGGACAAATAAAAGACATGCATGTATCTCATCTCAGCTACTCTCATGGGTTTAGACTACCCTAAGCTTTGTCCTCTTCAAAGAATTGGAATTTGATTGATGTTTTGTCCACATATGGAATTTATTTCTATTCCTAAGTCTATTGGTTATTTGTCTTCTTCTCTCTCTTTCTTTCAAAAGTTTTTTTGTAGGGGTAGTTCACAGATTTTATCATCTTAAAACCAGTTAGGGTTGAGAGTTGTAATTAATCAGATTTGATTGGATCTCGGACCAGGCTTCATTCCTCACACCAAACTTTTCGCTTACAAACATATATGCCATTTATTTTATCGAACAGGTTAGTTCTAACCCTAATCTTTTATGTATTTGTAATTCTCTCCGTTGATTTTTTTTTTTCCATATGATTATATTATTCTTTGATCTGAATCATACATGTATCAGATAGAGTTCCATTTTTGTTCTGCTGGGTTTAATCTGGACTATTCCTTCTCTCTCTCTGTTGTCACTTTATACTTCATTTTGTTCTTTAACTTTGATATATAACAAGCTGTATTTTTTTATGGGTATTTTTTTTTCTTTGCTTTATTCAATGTCTTGATTTATATGGTTCTAAGTTTTGTTTATCTTATGGGTACAAGATCTTACTGATCTAGTTCTTAGAAATTAAAGACCGGTTTGGCATGTTCTAAAAAAAAATAATAATAAAAAGACCTATTAGATAAGGTTCTACGTTTTCATTTTTTTGTTTCTTATTTTCTAGTTTCATCTTTTTCAATCAATAAAAAGAAAAGAACTATATTTGGTAGCTGTTTCTTCTTTATATTGTTTGTTTTTCTTTCTTTTATTAATTTATTTTTTTAAACAAACCGAAACAATGTTTGGTTATGATTTATGGTTGCTTGTTCACAATGATTTTAGATTACAAAATAAAAACTTATATGAAATTTAATTTTTCAAATTATATATATTAAGAAATTTTAAATGATATTTCTTTTTGGATATTTATTATTTAGTTAAAAAATGATAAACTTTTTATGTATGTTTTTGGAAAAAAAAAATAAAAGTAGAAGGGATAATAAGAAGCGATAACCTTTTTTTTTTGTTTTTTTATTGATTCTTAAAAATAAAAAATAAGAATTATGAACAATTACCAAACGCTCATGTTTTTCGGACCTTGGAAGAAAAAAACAAAAAAAAAAGGTGGGAATGTTACCAGACCAACTTAAATTATTTTGATATGTATATTTTAAACGTTCCTCCACCTATTGAAGAAGAAGACGTTGTCAACGCTCTCATACACACAATAGTCAAGCACATTTGTGAATCGATCGAGAATTTAGGGCTTAAAAATGATGGAGCACTAGATCATCTAACTTGTAAAACCTTTGGCGGACTACGAAATGGTATAAAAATACCTACCTAGTACGCTTATATAAAAGAACTGATTGCAACCTCCAGTCTACAAAGTAACATTTGTCTAAGGACTTCCTAAATATGTCATAGACAAATTCAGAGAAAAGTAAGCAGGAACGGAGAAATTGATTGGAAATCTCTAACATATGGAGATATCAACAATACAGTCCAAGCTGCTTGCTTACAAATGTGTAGAGAATTGAAGCTATCTCCATCATGTCCCCGCCTTATCGAGGATTCACGGGGCCGACAATATAATACATATGAAAAAAGCTACCGAGTGGGAGCTGGAAAAGACACACTTTTTTTTATGATGACCCTATGACGGATCCTTAATAAGGTTGTGAGTCAAGAAATGGGTCGTTGATATCGATATCGATGAGAGGATTTGTAATGTCGCCAACTACGAAGATTAGGAGGAAATCATAATTCGCTCACTGGCGTCATCATCAGAAAGACAATTCACCACTCGTTGAATAAGGTAAACTCCGTTGATGAGTTTGTTCATGCTAAAGCATAAATTATGTGATTTTGTAAAAGAGTGTGCCTGTCATGCTCTCTCCGCTTCATTTCTTGTAATTGGACATTGGCTTCGAACCATGCCTTGATATCTTCTTCTTGAAGGTGGGTGTACTCGAACTTTTCCCACCACTTGATTTGTATTGCATTTATTAATGCTTTGAAATTTATAGATTTATCCAATTGGAATTTCCAGCCGGGAATCATGGAATCTGGAAATATAATGCAAATTGAAACGTAGTAGATATGGGAAAACCATAAATATTGGCTTTGAAAAAATGAAAGGATTTTTTAATTGATAGGGGAAAAGTTTCCCTAGAAAGACAAGCGTGGTCCACCGTCGTTGAAACCCAACTTAAAAATGCATCTTGTAAGCATTTTTAAGTTGGGTTTCAACGATGGTGGACCAAGCTTGATACCAAAGGACATTATACCAAGTTCAGATGTAGACTCTGTATGAATAATAATGCTGCGCCACAAACTTTTTCTAGAAAGGTCACGACGTATGAAGTCCTTAATTCCAATGGGTAGGAGTCATGACCTTTTGAATCTTAAAATGTGAAAATATAATTTTTGACGAATCATTTTGATATGGCGTATGAATGATTTCCACTAATTTAGTATCAACAAAGATGAACCATTATTGGTCGAGGCTTATGAGTATACTTATTGGAGTCTGAGGGCACCAATAGTCTCTACCGGCCAAGACACTGATTGATTACATGAGAAGCATATAACGATAAACTTGTGGCTGACAGTACAAGACCCCTGACTAGCGACTTTATCACTTTAGAATCTGCTTTATGAAAAGCTTATAAGTGTACTTATACGATCCCGGGGCACCAATGAGTCCTAGCCAAGACAATGATTTATTATATGAGAAGTAGATAAGGATAAGCTTGTGGCCGATAGGATAAGACCCCTAAATGGCGACTTTATCAATTTGGAATCTGTTTTATGGAAAGTAAAGATAAGATGTAATCAACAAGATAGGACAAAGCCGTGCAAGACCTCTCCTTAGGACGGAACAGGCTTGATGATGGTGTACGATCGAATGACAACAATAGAGGGAGTGAATAGAGTTGCTTACCACTTTTTAAAAATTAAAAAGAAATTCAAGACAATGAACAATTATGCAATTAATAATAGAAGATTAACAAGAAAGAAAATATTGAACAAAATATTTAAGTAAACCTATATGCAAACTATCAAGATTCAAAGTAGATAAATACTGAATTGAAAAGAGAGAAGAGAAGAGAGTGGTGACACCAATAATTTTTATAGTGGTTCAGAAATTCCTACTCCACTCCCTAAGACTCCTTCTTGGGTATTTTAGTGCAGTGGCCCTCTTACGGGTGAGAATCAAACCAATCGACCATCTTTTTGTCCTAGGCTAAAGAGAAACTGAAAATCCTTTTTACTGGTTCAGGATCCAACCAATTTACTTTTCTCACAACCCAAGGTGTACCCACACCTTAATACAAAACCCAATTTGAAAATAAAGAATTAAAAAACAAAGTGAATTACACAAATTTTGCACCAAAGTAATGGCTAAAAAGCCACACTCTAATGAATCTCTCACAAAAAAAAAATGAGCAAGTCATGTGTAGGAGAGAATGAAGATTTTGCAAAAGTTGAGAGGAGAATTTTAAAACAAAAGATTTTGCTTTGATAGTTGGTGTGTAGAATGGTGAAATTTGGTGGCTTTAAATAGAGTTTCAATGATGAATTTTGGCCATTGAATTTAGGGCAACAAAGGATGAATGGTGTAGATTAAGAGGCGAGGTAAGGAAATGAAATGAAAACATAATTATGGTGATTGAAAGAAATTGGTGGAGATTGAGAAATTAATGAGATTGGGAGTGATTGAGGAGATTGAGGAGATTGAGAGAAATTGGTGGAAATTGATTTGTTAGAGATTGAAAGTGCCACATGTCATCTTCTCATTTGTTCGATTGTTGAATGCCACATCAGCATATATATGTCCTCTTGATGTCATATGTCAACTTTTGAGTGGTCCACTTGTCCATGTCACCCACCACGTAGGATTTGTCCACTTGTCCATGTCACCTGCCACGTAGGATTTTTCTCTTGACTTGTTTTGACCATGACTTCTTCGTGTAAACTTCGATTTGAGTGCTTTTACAGGCATTGGTTTTATCTTTTCTAGCTCTACGCTATGGACACTTTGAAACACTCAAATTGTTAGTTTATACTTAGTTTGTGATCATCAGAATATTTGGTTTGATTGAAGCCATAAAACTAACAGATGTATCGGAGGAATAGGTTCCTCTAGCCTTATTCCCTTTTGTCGGGAACGTTGTGATGAACTAACGGACTCGAAGTCCATTGAGTAATGATCTGCCGTCATATGAATGGTATCAGAGCTGTCTCTCTAAAAATTTTCTTCTCTATCTTCTCTCTATGGAGTAGTCTTCCTTCGACGAGGGGATATGGGGAACACATGACCCTTTAATGGTATGCTTTGCAGTTTAATTCAAATATGCTAGAAGTCTAATTGTTTTACTATCTTCTCTATCTATTCAATCAAATTTATTTCTTCCCCAATTCATAAGAAAATATTATTTAAGTCGATGCCATCGGTGCAGTTCATGGCGACTAGTTTTTGTTCGATGTTAGGCCTGGTCAACCTCCTGAACGAACAAACGATCGAGCAATTCCATCATCAAAATCACAATACTATCTTATAGATTTGATGAGTTATAAACTTTGAATAATATATTTAGAATTGATACTTAAAGAATTGATTTGGATTATATTTGTAATTAAGTCTTAAACCATATTATTATTATGGTCATCCCATCGATCTTGCTCCTTCGTCTCCTTCTTCTCCTCATGAACACACTCTTCCCTAAGCGTCCTGCTTCTCCCTCTCAAAGCACTCGATCTAGCCCTTCATCAAGGCCATGAAGCATAAGCACAGCGATAGCGATGCTATTATCAATACGGCGGTCACCATCTGCGACCTAGACAAGATTGAGGAAGCCCTCTCTGCTTGGTCTATTCCTAAAATTCCTAAAAAGGAAATTTATCATATCAATTCCTTCAACTTCGGTCGAAGAGACGTCATAGAAATCGTTGAGCAAAATATTCTTATTTCTCACGATTTCACCACCTTGAATCTCCTCACCGTGATTCAATCCTTGAACACCTTAAGAAATTCAGATATATTCATATTGGTTGTGTCCAAGTAGCTATCAAACCTTTGTTCCGACGATGTCTTGATAAACCTGTCTATGCTACCTTGAGAGATACTCGACACCTAGATTTCTCAAATTCCCTACTTGGAATCGTTCAATAAATTTGGCAGATGGGCCAGTGTTCTTCGAGTGCAGACCTGGATATTCTGTTGCACTTGACGATCCTCATATTCTCATGACCCTTACTCTTGACATCAAGTCTAAGGGATTAAATCTTGAAGACAGAGTCTTGCCATATTATGTTATCTTAAGATTATACTACAAGCTCCTTTATATGAATCTGGCCTTTAGGGCTCTTGAAGTTTCTCCGCAAGGACAAACGATGCTCATGGAGGTCAATCTTAAAAGATGATCTGTTACTGTTCTTAAGCTTCTCTAGTGGACGAGATAACAACGAATCCAATTTGGAAACTTGAAGGTGCAACCAAGCCTTTCAAAAGACAATCTAACGTGGCTCGAATCAAATAACACCCTGACATATGTGTACTTCGTTGAAGAAGAACCATAGTCAAGGGTTCAGGAATTCATTCAAAGCAGACCCAACACTTCTACATCTACATCTAGGCCAGTGTGGTATGTTCTAAAAAAAAACGACGACCTATTAGATAAGGTTATAGGTTTCCATTTTTTGTTTTTTTATTTTCTAGTTTCATCTTTTTTAATCAAGGAAAAGAAAAGAACTATATTTGGTAGCTGTTTCTTCTTTATATTGTTTTTCTTTCTTTTATTATTATAATTTTTTTAAACAAACCTAAACAATGTTTGGTAACCATTTATGTGTTCTTGTTCACAAAGATTTTAGATTACAAAATAAACTTATATGAAATTTAATTTTTCAAATTATATATATTAAGAAATTTTAAATGATATTTCTTTTTGGATATTTATTATTTAGTTAAAAAATGATAAACTTTTTATGTATGTTTTTGGAAAAAAAAAAACTAGAAGCGATAATAAGAAACGAGAACTTTTTTTGTTTTTTTTATTGATTCTTAAAAATGAAAAATAAGAATTAGGAACAATTACTAAATAGTCATGTTTTTCAAACCTTGGAAAAGAAAAACAAAAAACAAAAGGTGGGAATGTTACCGGATGAACTTAAATAATTTTGATAGGTATAGTTTAAATGTTCCTCCACCTATCAAAGAAGAAGACGTTGTCGACGTTCTCATATACACAATAGTCAAGCACATTTGTGAATTGATCGAGAATTCAAGGCTTAAAAATGATGGAGCACTAGATCTTCCAACTTGCAATACCTTGACGGACTACAAAATGGTATAAAGATACCTACCTAGTACGCTGATATAAAAGAACTGATTGCAACCTCCAGTCTACAAAGCAACATTTGTCTAAGGACTTCCTAAATTTATCTCAGCTTAAAAATGATGGAGCACTAGATCGTCCAACTTGCAAAACCTTGGTGGACTATGAAATGGTATAAAGATACCTACCTAGTACGCTGATATAAAAGAACTGATTGCAACCTCTAGTCTACAAAGCAACATTTGTCTAAGGACTTCCTAAATATGTCAGAGACAAATTTAGAGAAATAGTAAGCAGGAATGGAGAAATGGATTGGAAATCTCTAACATATGCAGAATTGAAGCTGTCTCCATCCTGCCCTCGCCTTATCGAGGATTCACGGTGCCGACAATATAATGGATATGAAAAAAGCTACCGAGTGGGAGCTGGAAAAGGCATTTTTTTTATAATGACCCTATGACAGATCCTTAGTAAGGTTGGGAGTCCAGAAATGGGTCGTTGATATCGATATCAACGAGAGGATTTGGAACATCATCGACTAACAAAGATTAGGAGCAAATCATAATTCGCTCGCTGGCATCGTCATTAGAAAGATGGTTTGCCACTCGTTGAATAAGGAAGTTAAATTCCATTGATGAGCTTGTTCATGTTAAAGCATAAATTATGTCATTTAGTGAAAGGGTGTGCCTGACATGCCCTCTTCACTTC